ACACCGTGGAAATCGTAGTTAGGTGGGGAATATAATGACACAGATATCACCAGACAGTGGTCAGAAGTTCCCAAGGGTGAGGTAACCTGAACATCGTAGCTGTCTGGATCGGTCCTCAGCAGAAGGTCGAGGCAGTTGGCTGTGTACCCATCCACATCAAGTACTCTAGTCGCTTGTTGTACCAGCTGGGAGAGCCCCAGCGACAAGGCAAAATTCCACGCCTCTCACCCAGCGTGGTCGGTCTTCTGGTATGGGAACAGCCAGTTCTGATGACAGATATTAAAGTCCCCCATAAAAACCAACTCTGCATTAAGGTACCGATTTAAAGCCACATCAGAGGCTTCACTGAGATGTTCAAATAGCCTAGTTGATTCCTGGTCACCGCTGTGCGATTGGTAGATACAAGAATAAATAATTTTATCCATTCCTGTATCTATCTATACCCAGATCGTTGAGAAAATTGAGTCTTCAAGGTGACGGAGACGCTTACAGCAGATGTCGTTGCGGACGTAAACTCCGACTCCAAACTCAGACTCCGACGCAGGCCTTGGATTTTTGTGAGGTGCACTTTGAAGGAGAGGGAGTTCAATCGTTGTACAAACTTACTCTTCTTTTTCCTTTTTTTCATAAATGGTGGAGTGAATAGGTTGAGAGAATGGCAGTTGGACGAAGCGTCACACAGGGACGCAAACAGTCACAGTATCGATGGTACCTAGCATGAAGATCGCGGGGACGCCCGAACCCCCCTGGAAATTGCCACCAGGCCCTCTCCTCCGGTCGCCTTCATAATCAGGCACCTGATACTAAGAAATGGCCGCGTCGCAACCGGTTTGTATTCGCAATGCAACTGTCTAGACCCATTCTCCCTAAGAAATGGGTTTCACCCAGGGGCGTAGCTAGCGCCGTATCAGCCGTATCAATGATACAGGGCCCCCGGGCTACAGAGGCCCCGAATGTGTGTAAGCAAACATTCTAAGGACTTCTATTTTTTTTTTCTATAAAAGACGTTACCCCCATACTAGTATTTTCTCCTGTGTCGTGGAGGCAGTTTACAAACACAAATTGCACAAGGACAAACATCCAGACCCGGAACAATTACTTGTAGGCCACACAAATACTTGTTCCGTGCGGGATTCGAACCCGCGGTCCCCAGCGCAGCAACTCATTGCTAAGCCACTGCGCCACGGAGCCGTCTAACTTCTATGAGACAGGATGTTGGTTTAAACTGTTTGGCTAGTTTAGTTCCTAGGAGTATTAATTGTAAGTAATAACTTATAATCAATATATAATTATTTTAATACAATACGAGAGTTTTTGTTCCTTTTGTGAAAAATCTTTACCCTTCATTTGGGCCCCCCGACAAATTTTGATACAGGGCCCCTCTAAGGCACGCTACTCCACTGGTTTCACCTAACATCATACCGGAACACGACTTTCATCATTTGGCGGTATGTCTTTGCCAGGTGGGTGGTAACTAACCCTCGGCCGGGCCTCTCACTAGTAGAGGACCAACTTAACACCAGTATGTAGTGCTGCTCACTTAGCGCTACCCAGGGGATACGATTAGGGAATCAGAATTCAAGTATTAAAAAATTATCTACGCGTATGTTAATTTTGGTGAACGTGGTCGGTTATTTTTTATTCGTCTAATAATAGTTTCATAACTTTCCGACATCAAGTGTGTAACATAATTTTTTAGATACTACCCACAAATATTTAAGTGTTAATTATTTTATTTGTTTATTATTAAAAATTATTTAATTTAAAGAAAACAATGAATGTTTAATCAATTTTTTATGGTACGTTCTTCTTATATGTGCAGCTTGATTCGATGTTATACTACAATTGAACTTACAACAAAAATTTTACATGACAGAAAGATTTCTCCAAAAATTGATCTATTCTATAACAAAAACACACATATTCGATTCTCTTTAGAATTCTGCAGATATACGGATATTTTGAAATAGCATCTACTGAATTCTACGGATTTTTTTATAGTAATCTACGGATTTCGAAAAATTCGAGTCGGCAACACTGAACTCAATACTATTTAAAATAGTCTATTTTGGCTATAGATGTGCTAACTCGGGAAATTACAACTCGAGTTAACTCGAGTTGAAATTCACGCAACTAGAGTTTAAACTCGAGTTAGCAGTGCGAAACAGAGTAAATGATTTGTTACAAATTACTTAACTACCGACTTCAAAAAGGAGACGGTACTCAATTCGACGTATGTTTTTTTGTGTATAACATTTTTCGGGGTAAACCGATTTCGATGATTTTTTTATTTGAAAGTTGGCGCTTCTCATGTGGTCCCATATAAATTTGATCAAGGTCTGACCAGTGATTGAGTTGTTCTTAATAATTTAGATCGAAGTCGGTTCTACAAAATTTTTAATTTTCAATTATTTCTAAATTTGTTTTTCTATCTAGCTCTTTGGCAGGTTGGGATAATCAAAATTACCAAACTTATTATGTAGGATTGAAATAAAAAAGTATATTTAGTATGTATCACATACTTATATATATTTGATTTTAATCTTAGTCATAGTAAGTACTTATATTTAACAACATAACTAGCTATCTCGTCTTCACGAAACAATATTAGTCCAGTTTTAAGATATAGGTACATAAATTAGGCTGGCTTTTCACTATGGGATATAATATATATTATATCCCGAAATATAAATTATATCCCGCGATTGGCGTTCACACTGTGAGATATATCTTTTAACCAGTGTGCGTTCGTCATTGGTCATTGGATTACCCCCTTTACCCCGTACACCGTTCTGCGGGGGCGCGGAACGATGTGCGGGGTACAGGGGGCAAAATAAAATGCCTCCTCTACACTACTCGCGAAGTAGATCGAAGTCAGACGAGGCGAATAGTGTAGAGAGGTACTTCGATTCACTTCGTCCAACCTCGCTTCGCCTCGGGCGACTTCCGATCGCTGTCGGTTTTTTGCGCCAGAGTCAAAGGACTTCGCGAAGTACCCCGAAGTTACACGAAGTGTCTCACTACACTACTCGGCGTACGCCAGTTATGAATGTCTTTTTTTTTTCAAATAAATATTAAATATGTAACTTTCTACATAATTATTTATTTAGTTAACGCATTGACGTCGTACTGTTCACACAATTAGGTACCTATAGCAGCTGCCTCTTGAACGTCATTCATGTTAACGGTGCGGGAGACTCAAGACCACAGAGTACATTATATATAGGGAATAGAGTCATCACTTAGAATCGTAGCATTAGCGCCATCTAGCGATATACGACGTCCCTACAGGCCAGTGACGACGTAGGATGCTCTATATTACAATATTTATTATTTATGTTCAAAGTAATTTCCAAAAGTCAAACCATTTTAATATTGATTTGGCTTTTGGAAATTACTTTGTGTACAATATCATTTAGGCAAATAAAACAACTGTTTAGCGGTTGGATGTTTTTTTATAATGCTTCCTTTTATTATAATAGTACACAACAACTTCTCTCAAAAGAAGCCACAATCCAGGTCAACAGAGCACAAATAGTTAAGCAAATCAGGGTCCAGAGTTTCATGCGTAAGTGCAACGAAAAAGGCGAAGTCTTCGGAGTCCGGGAATCAAGCAAAGTTGTTAAAGTTTTATAAACACAAACAGAGCACATTCACAAACCACGAAAGGAAATGTAAAGACAAACAGACAAATTAAATTACGTTAAATGAAGTTACTAGTTTTATACTCACACAAACTACTAGTTTTAGTTTCTTTTGTTTTTAATATTGTATGTATAAAATTAAATTAAATATAAATGACATTTGTAACATTGACAGACCGAAATGACCATAGATCTCTCCCTCCGGCTCTTGCCATAGATAAACGGAGAAAACAATTTGCAACGGCGAAATCATAATAATTCACTTGAATAAATGTAAAATAAATAAATTACACTAAAAATTTAATTACAAATTTGTTTTGTAACAAAATAGTAAGTTAGCAAGGTTCGATTATATTTTGAACTATTCATTAATTTGTTTGATTCTTAATTGGCCTAGCATGGCTAAATTTAAAAAAAGCGACATCTACTGCAACATGGACAAACTGTCTTGACATATTAATACCTCTAAGAAAAATTATAGTATGGACTGTTATGCCACTGCTCAAGACGACTGAGCTGAGCTCTTCGCGAAATAGCACGAGTGTGTGGTCACGTTCTTCGGACTGCGATCGACTTCGACGAGCACTTCGTCGAAGTTTCTTCGCGAGTAGTGTAGAGAAAGCATAATATGAAAATATCGCTCGGTCGATCGAAAAAATATTTATAGCTTGAGAAGTAATATATATTATAGCTCAGTGTAAACGGTTCCATATGAAATGTATGGTGAGCGATATTAATTTATATCTCGAGATGTAATATATATTATATTATATCCCGTAGTGAAAAGCGGGCCTGATTAATATTTTAATTATCACTGTCAAAATATTCTTAAATAAATTTAATTTTTTTTCAAAATGAAGATATTTAATTTATGTGTTACAATTGACGTTAATGTAAAATATGACGTATTTTACAACTAAACCACGCTTTTCGGGTATTACAATAATAGCTCTGTCACTTACATAATTATATTGATCATAAACCCTTCAAAATTATGAAAGGAATTAAATTACATAACTTAGCTATTATAAAATTATAAATAACAAATTATTTTAGTTATAGCTAAATACTCTTTAAAACACAAAGTGCGCACACAACGAACGAATCGCGCTCTTACTCTATGCTGGCTCAATCCGTTCATGTACAGCAGCTCAAACTCGAGTTAGTAACTCGAGTTGACCATCGCTAATTTTGGCAATTGGCAAACATCTTTCAACTTTCAATATGTTTATTAATTTTTGAATTTTTAAGAATATAATACAATATAATATAGTGAAGATAATTTATTAATTTCTTGCAATTTCATTATTTATATTCCTAGTTTCCAATCTTTCAATAAGTTTTTATAACTAAACAATGAATGGTTTTATAGCAGTACATTGTGGTAAGTAATATTTGTTTTATCTTCCTCTTCATCAGGCTTTAAAAACCCACTGAGATCATTAGCCTCTCCTTATATAAGGAGGATTTTCCTTAATCGGCAAGCTTAGCAAGCGAATTAGTGATTACAGTACCAGACGTTTAAAACGTAAACGCAACTTTGACTACACTATCGCTTAAATTATATTTTGTTTGGCTGCTACCCGCTGTCGGTCTGCCTTCCTATTCTAGATTGGGCATGAACGAAATGGTTATTTAAGGTACGTTGGGGTAATACCGGACGGATTTTCGAAAAGTTGGAAGAGTCTGCCAAAAACTTTAATTTCTCGACATTCGTATACGTCAGATTTATGGAACATGGAGCAAACCGTTAACCATTAAACGTAGTTTAGCTCTGAGAATCTTTTGCTTGTGTAAACTCAACGGTTTCTGCTTTAAAGGTGTGCGAAAACTAGACATACTTTTTTATATGCATAATGAAAAATTGGCTATTAAGGGGTAAGACCGGACTTAAATTTAAAACCACTTCTACTGCTTAGAGAAAAAAGTTTATAAAAGAGATTTGTTCTATATTTAACGCTCAAAAACATATTTCAATATGATCTATAAATTACTAGAAACATAAATGTTCCAAACGATTTTCTCTTTTTTTGTTTCTTGCCATCCGATCTTATCCTTGATATAAAGAAATTGTAATTTTATGTTTCTCAAACTTTGTTATGACATAAGATGGAATTACTCAATATAAGAGAAAGATCGGATGCATTTGACTTTATATGGGAAAAAAAATAACAGTAAGGACTGGCGAAATGCCCTGGGATAATGCAGGAGTTAAGGAAGATATAAATATTTTAACAAAGCGGCATTTATTATTATAAATTATTTTTTAAATAATTATTATAAATTACATTTTGATTTGTAATAGAGGATAGATATAGATGTCTATGGGCCGCAGCAATCACTTAATATCAGGTGGACTGTGTGCTCCTTTGTCACCCTTATCCTATAAAAAATTGTATTTTAATATGTACTTAAAAGTATTAAAACCATCGTATTGTTTTATTACTTTTAAATATACAGACTTGCTAACGAGACTGAGTCCCATAGTCACTTGAGTAATCAACGAAAAAATATACACGACCAATGAAAGTTTAACAACCACTGCCATATTTGCAACAGGCAAAGATCGGATAATATTCATCCGATCTTCACTCACGCGGGGAAACATCGGATCTCGGCCTACAGCGATCTTACCCCTGCATGGACCAGCTTTATTTAGCTATAACTTCATAAAAATTAGTATCCACACAAAATAATAACAAAAGCAGCCATATTCTCGCTAAAAATCGTAAATAAAAGTGATAGGGAAAGATCGGATGGACAAAAATAATACAAAAATTACATTGTTTTATAAAATGCCACGCAGCACAGGTTCCACTTGCCGGAGTGACTGGCGCGAACTGAGGGTCGGGGCAGGATGAAATGGCGTCGTGTAGCATATTGTTAGCTTTTCAAAATATAGCATAATTCGCCGGGAATTTGAATCCTACGGTCTTGCCCCATCACCGATCTTACCCCAACGTACCTTATATCTTTCCCATCTTACTCTTCTGTGATGGATTCTCTTACTTTTTTTAAATTTTTATTTCAAACTTTAATGCATATTAGAAATGAGGTATTTAATGTACAAGGGATTATGAATACAAGGAAATATTATGTCCATCTAATTGTTCCATAAGTATTTGGCGATAATTTATTGTGACATTTTAATATTACATAAACTACAGTATAATATATGTATATGTTCCCTAGGTTATATGTATGTGATCCCTTGTGCAACTGTTAATCTCTCAAACTATTCACTCTAATTGAATAAAACTACTTTTACGGATTTTATCGCGTTTAATTATTTTTCTTATTTTTATTAATTCCCCACATTTCGGGGCTTTCCAGTACCCATAGTCCCGGGGGACTGAGGTGATTGACGTCCCGATGTCAGAGTTAACCTGGAGTACTTTCAGCTTTTTTAATTATTAATTTTGGTCCGATCTACACAGAATGAACTTACTGTGTCTTGAAGTCTTGCAGTGGTATGCGTGGGTTTAGTTTTAATTTTATTAATTACAGAATCCCAAGCAGGTAGTAGTACTCCCTCTCTATTGAAATTAGGATGTGTTTTAATTTCAATCGCCTCACGTATCATCCTTGGCAGGAATCCGAGAGCCGTCTAGGATATGATCACAAACTGCAGACTTCCCGGAACGTTGTTGCTTTACGTCAGCTATGTGTTCTGTGTTTTATTCAACGTCTAGTGTTCGTGTAAATATAAGAAATCATTATTCACTCTTAAGTTTTGATTTCCACTTCAAAAACTATCATATTACAGAGATTAAAATTTATTTAGCCTTTTTTTTATATTTGTATAAGCCTGGTCTCGTCTCGACTACTCCACCAGATGGCAAGTGGTGATGTAACAAAATCACATTCATTCTTGCCTTGAAGACCCACATTCTAATTGTATGGAAAGACAGATTCTGGCAAATTATTCCATTCTATGGCTGTACAAATCATGAACAACAAAACATTTGATTTAAATGAATGGTTATATCAACAACAAAGGAGTGGAAACAGGCTGAGCGTCTGGTTGCCCCATGGTGGAAACTAAAAGGGGAATTTATGTCATGTTATTCCAGTGCTACTCTTTGAAATGCTCATGTGAATCCAAAAACATTACAAATTCTGAATCTGAAGAGCTACTTGTGGTCTACTACATGTACTTTAATACCTTTACTACTTGTGGTCTGCATATAATATAACTTATATTTCAATCACTTAAAGATCTTTATATAATGAAATGTGTGTTCTATCCTTTTTTAGGAGCAGGTTATCATAGTGATTCATTAAAGAAAGAATATCAAAAAACTTGCTATGTAGCCTGTAGAAAGGCGGTAGAAGCACTCCGAGAGGGTGGTAATGCTGTAGATGCTGTTGAAAAAGCAATAATTGGTATGCAAAATGTGTAATTACAAATTATCATACTTAATACTTTGTTACAATATGCTTATTAAGATCTGATGTAAAGTCCTAATAATAATTAAAATAATTAGTCAAAAATACTATAACACTTATGAAGTTATATTGGACACAGTAGATTATGGAGTAGCAAAACTTTGGACATTTTTATAACTTATAAATTATTCAGACTATCCAAAAAGCACCAGGTAACCTAGATTTACCTATTCTATATGTATACTATATTCATTACCATATATGCTACAAAGTTTCTTTATCTACTGCCATCTTTTTATAATAACACTTAAGTGAATATAACCTATGACTACTTCGCATAATGAGCTATGTTTTTAAAAAACTTAAGTACTTTTTAAGATAATTATTTGTCTTCAATATAACTTAAAACACTGAAAATTTTGATGTAATTGCACATCATGATGCGACATCATCCCAAAGGTTTCAGAAGAGGCAACAGGGAATCTGAATCTATGGGAAAGGTACAGAGCAACTACATAGAGGTGTTGTAATTAGATTTCACTATGTAACAACACGTGACAATTTGTGAGGTGAGGGGTGTACAACTCCTCCCCCCCCCATTGAATTGTTCAGGAAGTAATTAATGCATGAATAAATGAATGAATGAATTGAAAATCATTAAATCTTTACATATTATAATTTAAGTTTGAATCAAAACACACCGTTATATTTGAAAGATTTTTTGTCTAGGTGGTATCCATTAATTACATGACCTGTTTTTTTCTAAATTAGCACTCTCCCCAACCCCTTGGTAAGATTTAGTAAGAAGTGTTTGAATACCCACCCCTTTTGTGATATTTAACCAAAAAAAAAATTAAATTTATTTGAAATGTTTTATGTATTTTGCTTCATACCTCTAACTGTCTATATAAGCTTTTATACTTATGCAAATATCACGGCTGAATGACACACAGTTATTCCAAACGGCCAAGGCAGTAAGGAACTCCCTGAATGAAATCTGACATTTGTTTGGTACTTGTTTCATATCAGGAAATCCAGGGCACAGACAAAATTAAATTTATTATCCGTTATAACAATGAATATCATGAACCTGCATTTGAACTGTACTATGCAGTGTCCTAATGAAAAAGAACTAAACAAGAGATTTCAAAGTAGTGACGAATCTCTTTGTTACTGAGCTGTTCAATCATTACTGGTTGTCAGACTTTTTGTCACATAAATATCAATTCTGATAAAAATAAGTAAGCTTATTAATCACAATAATTTTTACACACAGTAATTTTTTTATATAGAAATAGGGTGACAGACGAGCACACAGTCCACCTGATGGTATTTGGTTGCTGAAGCCCATAGACATCTACATCTCTCCCCGTTTGCGAATCTAAATGCAGATGCATTGTCAGCCTTGAGGACTAATATAGAATGCCTCTTTTCCAGTAAAAAAGGGTCTCTGGTTCTCTACACTCACCATACGAAACACAGCAGCATTAAGTTGCTAATTTACGTTGGTATTCTGTGAGAGCGTAGTCCTCCCCAGTCGAGCCGACCCATTCGTGCTACAACTATACTACTAGTATAGCTGCAGCTTGGCTCTTCGAGGGCGGCACTGAAAATTTCGAGAATCAAGGAAGTGACACAACATTACTATTTAAAAATGTATTTATTGCTTTTCGAAGTATTCTCCGCGAAATTTGACACATTTTTCCATACAATGGAACCAATCATTGAAGCAACCATTCCATTCGGAAGTTGGGGTCTCCAAAATGGCCGTTTTGTAGGCGTCCACAGCTTCTTCAGGTGATGAAAATCTCCGTCCACGCAATTTATTCTTTATTTTAGGGAAAGTATAGAAATCATTAGGGCTTAGGTCGGGGCTGTACGGCGGATGGTCTAATAATTCTATGTTTACTTGCTCTAAAAACTCTTTTGTTCTGTGTGCGGTGTGAGAACTCGCATTGTCGTGATGGAGGATGATGCGGCGGTTGCAGTTCTCTATACGGAGTTTAGAAACGACCTGTGGCAAACAAATGCTAGCATACCATTCTGCATTAACCGTTCTTTGTCCCTCAAGAGGAATAGTCGTAACATGGCCGGTTTTGGAGACAAACGTGGCCACCATTTTTTTTGCAACACTCTGTGAACGAACAATTTTTGTTGGCTTTAACTCATTTTCGAACACCCAAAGTCGTGACTGGTTTTTTATTTCGGGTTCGTACGCGTATATCCAGGATTCGTCACCTGATACGATGTTGTGTACAGCATTTGAGGATCCTGCGTGGAATCTTTCGAGAGTTCTGACGCACCAAGTAATGCGATCCGCTTTTTGCTCTTCACAGAGCGAATGCGGTATCCATCGGGAAAACAACTTTTTTACACCTAATTGTTCATGCAAGATTATTTGTATTTGACTCATGCCAATGTCTAAAGTTGCCTGAATTTCGCGGTATGTCACATGTCGATCTTCTTCAATCAGCTTACGCACAGCATCAACGTTTTCTTGGGTGACTGCAGTTTTTGGACGACCTTGACGGGGATCATCACTGAGCTTGACACGTCCACGTTGAAATTCAGCAAACCAGCGATAAATTGTGGTTTTGGATGGGGCTTCATCACCAAATGCAGAAATCATCCGGTCAACACACTGTTTTTGTGTTAAACCACTTCGAAAGTCATAATAAATCATCGCTCTTGAATTTTCTCGAGTCAATTCCATTTTCTCAACGACTAAACAAGTTTGACAAAACCTTGTGACAAGACCGAGAATCTTTTTTTAAATAAATAAATGGTATTCAATTTTAAAAAACCAAGGACTTTTCAATTAAAAAGATATTAATATGACAGGAACAGTGGAAATATTCCATTCCCGATACTTTTAGTGCAGCCTATGTACCACCTAAATACTAGCAGCGACCCTCGGTTTAACATAATAAACTCATAGAATTAAACAATTCCAATTGGCTACCTACAACGGTTTAAAGTATAAATAATGAAAGATGTAAATTTACGAATACTGGGAAATCGTGGTGTCATTACCGCCTCTCCTTTGGCTCCTCTAGTGATGATGGTGGCTTTCATAGTATGCCTTTTTAGCTCTGTGATGCGTAACCTAGTGTCATTGCTCAACTTTGGTGCAGACAGGTTATGCATCAGTATGGCAAGCAAAAGCTCAAAAGGTTCTCGAGTGGCGGCCTCGTACCGGCGGACGAAGTGTAGGGCGTCCCCCCTCTAGATGGAGTGACGACCTGGTAAGATACGCAGGAAGTCTATGGATGCAGGTGGCTCAGGACCGTGCTTTGTGGCATTCCTTGTGGGAGGCCTATGTTCAGCAATGGACTTGTGAAGGGCTGTAATCATGATGATGGCAAGCATACTGACTTTCAGCTTTGTGACAGTACCCCTGAAAATTCTAATGAGTTTAAAAACTCAACAGAAAATGTAGTTGTGTTGTTTGTCATCATTGTGTCAATTGATGTATAAATGGTCAGCTCACCAGATACTTGATATCATATCATCAATCAACTAACAATAAAGACTGGTTATATGAAAAAACAATCATGTGCTGGAATTTCATGTTGGTTGTGTGGTGTTACCCTACTATTCTAGCCTACAATGGTGAAGCCTTAAGACGCGTTAATCTCATTTGCCGCTGTTCCTCGCTTGATGACCAATAACGTCCTCCGAAAGTCGCCTGCGAGGAAGACAACTCTACCCATCAACATTCGGATGTGTTGCAAGCTGCAATCAAGTCCTAAAATCGCGCGCTTGTATGACATTGTGCATTCGTCTCGCACAATTAATTTACACTACTGCAACGGAGTGCCACGATCATTGTCCTTGCTAATATTGCATGTAGGCGTATCCTCGCTCGCAAGGTTCAGCGGAAGTTTGAATACCGAGTGAGCAATTCTTTTATCATTAAGCAAGGTCGCAGCTAATCCAGAGGAAACAACAACTAGCGCGGTATTTTTGTCTTTGCGCAACTGCGTAAGCGAAAAATTTGACAAAAATCTTGCCTGTGCACCGATTCGTCCTTAATAAAGGCCGCCTTCTGCATTCTCGATGCGTCGCAAAATGTTATTTGCCTATGCTCGGGTAATAATAGCTGGGGCTCTGTTTGATCAACTCGAACCTCGAAAATCGCAGTGTCATAGTTGAGCTCCCTGTATAAATCAGTGGACAACACCCATAAATTGTGGGACCTATACAAAATCAGATAGCTATCTAGAGTTGAGAATATTTTGTCCATAGTCCGTCTTATAACAAAAATTAGTTTAACGATAGTCTCAGGTTTAGGGTGTCCGCTGTGTTGTGTGATCACAGGTACACACCACGGGCAACGTTGCACCCGCTGCGTGAACTCCGGTTATCATAGCGTCGCTAGTATTACAACTATTACAACTCAGGTAATCAACCAAATGCGCAGGAATTTGAATAATCCCATCGGCTTTATTGCTTTTTTTCAATACCCTCGTCTTGGACTCGTAGTTGTGCTTATGCTTGGTTGAGATCTAATTTTGAGATTATTGTTTTCCTGGAAAGGAGGAGTGAAGTCCTTCACGCAGGGGATACTGAATATCAGCCAGGCTTCGTGACAGCATTGAGACGATTGTAGTGGCCGCAGACACGTTTTTATCTTGGGTATAATATGTTGTGTAGGAAAGTTAGTTTTAATCCATACAAAGGCTTCACAATAAAGTTATTTATTTGACAATTTGTCCTATATTTATACAAAAAATAATAATAATCGAGGAATACACACCAATAATAAAAAAATGTCCAATAGGAATTCGTTACCGTCGTCTCGCTCTTGCAAGCTTAGATCAGAGCGTATTCACTTGGTAAACGCGTCAGCGCCGTGATAAAACATCACGGCGTGAAGGTGAAGACGGCGATTGATATATATACCTGCTGTTACCTAATCGGCTCTTCTGAGAGTAGAGCCTTACCCTAATTGATCCTGTTTCTTAGTTATGAACCATATAGCTCTTTCAGAGCTGCTTTTTGTTTGTGCTAAACTAACTGCCACAAGGCTATCAAAAGTCTAATCGGGAAGAGACGACTCAGAAAAATGCTATAGATTTTTGGTATATTTTATTAAATGAATAATGTATGATCATTAATATTAATGTAAAATGTATATTATTTCAGAATTAGAGAACAGTTCACTTACTAATGCCGGCTACGGGTCAAACTTGAGTTGGGAGGGATCAGTAGAGTGTGATGCTTCTATAATGAATGGACAGACTTTACATTTTGGGGCATGTGGCGCCGTGTCAAATGTTTGGAATCCGATTACCTTGGCAAAACATTTATGCATTCGACAATGTGAAAGTTTGTCATTAGGACGCATACCACCATGTATCCTCACAGGCCAGGGAGCTAAGACTTGGGCAGAAAGATTGGGATTAAATATAGTAGACAACAGAAAAATGATTTCAGCTCGAGCTTTTCGTAACTATAAACACTGCAAACGGAAATTAAAAAAATATTCTCTTCAAAACGACATTAAGTTCAGTCCATTGGATACAGTTGGTGCTATCTGTGTGGATTCAAATGGTGTTGTTGCTTCTGGAGCAAGCTCAGGTGGTGTGTCCTTAAAGCATGAAGGACGAGTTGGTCAAGCTGCTTCATTCGGTAGTGGTGTATGGGCTATGATGAGCAGAGATGGCGTACAACCTTCTGTGGCAGCTTGTACTTCTGGATGTGGAGAACATTTAATACGGACGCAATTGGCAAAAAATACAGCAGAAAGTCTTTTAGAATCATCCCCAGCTGTGGGTCTCGACAAGTGTTTAAAAGAAAAGTTTCTGGAATCGCCATTTTTATGGGATATACCTGAAAGATTAGGAGGATCATTAGCATTAATATTTAATCCACAAGTAGGAGAAGGTGAACTCTTATGGGGTCATACTACAAAAACTATGTGCATAGGATATATGTCTACTGAAACCACTAAACCAAAGGTATAGTCTAATGAAATTTTGTACTTTTAAATTAATTTCTTTACATACCTAATATATGTACAATATTTACAACAATAAAAAGTAACATTGTCATACCCTTTACTTTGCAGTATAGTGCCAAGAAAACTGACTGTGCTTTTACTATACTTGCTTTTTAGCTGATCGAAAAAATGACAATATTTTGGACATCATTTTTTAAGTTTTTTTATAACAAAAAAACATTTTACTTTTCAGTGTGTCATTTCCTATCTACCCCCAAAAGTGGAGACAGGACGCAAGGCGGTGGTTTCAGGAATCCCTTTTAGAGTATCTTTGCAGCCTTACCCTGTTCTGCAATGGGAAGTCAAGACTGAAACCAATGTAAATGGATCTCATTAATTGTTTGAACTGTATTTTATGATTTCCTTTTTTTGAAACATCCAATGTATGAAAAAATGTATAAAAATAGATCTCAAATAAGTATTTGTGAAAATGTTGAGAGCGAGAGTATAATGTAAATTCTGTTAATAAACTCAACTAATAAAAGGATAATTATGTACAGATAAGTCACAGTTTTTTTTTACAAAATTATGATGATGTTCTCTTGTGTAATACGTAGTATTATACCAACATTTTCTTCAAGTGCCAACGTATCAGAGTTTCCACTTACAATTTTGCTTTGTCCCTATTTTTTTTTAGGATTTATCCCTAAAATTACCTAAACGATCTTAAAAATTCTTATTTTTAAGGAGCATATGTTTATTCGAGAAAGTAAACAATAATTTATTATTTAGAATATTTATTAATAAATCAACAAAAGATCAATCACCAAAAATCAGATCAGACAGAAGATTTAAAAGCTGAAGCATTACTTTTGTAATGATTTGGTGCACTTATCATGGCACTGTTGGGCTCCATAATTGAGCAATTGTTTGCTTGCATTCCGAACTTTGTATGAAACAAGCCGTTCAGTTTCTTTAGGAAGTCTATTTCTTTTATCTGATTTTACATTTTTTAGAATAATAAATAATTTTTCTACCTCAGTATTTGAAGATGGAACTGCTAGTAAAACTGAAATAACTACTTCAAGATTTTCGTAAATGAATGATCTTCTAAGCATGAAAGATTATAATTACCATGATAATCTTTCATGCTTAGAAGAATCTTATTCCAATAAATGTCAGCTGGCATGTTTTTGATACTTCTTCGCTTTCAACTCCAAAATGCTTTAAGTTTATAAGAGCTTGATTTCTCCATTAGTTACTGCTTTTTGCATGTTGCATTTTGTCGTTAAAAAGTGAAATTTTTCAAACACATCTTTCACTGATTGTTTCTCCAGATCGGAGTACAGGGGATTCCCTTTCAAAAATGAACCGCGGGTGGTGGCACCATAGAGCTTGTACATACTATAACAGGGTTAACATCATAAGTTTTGATTTTTCTCCGAATTTCCCTAAATCCGTGTCTTATTAAAATAATCCCTAGTTATGTACAATTTCACTTAGTTTTCCCTAAAAAAGGGATAAATCCCTAAAAGTGGAAACACTGCAACGTATGCAAGTAACACAAACATGATGCACCCTATTGACTGATGAATGAACAAGACTGATTACATCTGACTAATAATAAAAATACAATCTGTATAAAACTTCTCCGATCCGTGAGAATTCTATTAGGTATCGTGATATGATTATGTTTATGTAATCCTTATCAGAGAATAAATAGAAATAATTAACATGCAAAACACAAAAAATTATTAAATGGTGAAATGACTTTACCTCTGTTAACCCCAGGCTTCACTTATTCAGTTTATCGTTTGTTGCAAGTAGATGTGTTGTTCATGTAAATAATGTGCTTGCTAGTGAACACAGTGCCCATCACGTCGACGTTACGACAGAAGCGTGTGATTGCATTATATACAATAAGTGTGTTTCTAATGCATAGTTTTTCACGTAAAAACAGTCCAAACGTCATAATGCGTTGCATACGTGGGACCAGTCTGTCTCTCATATATTATGCTTACTTATTCCGAGACATTGGCAGTAAGAACGTAAACAATATAATATGCTTTATTTTATTTTATCTAATGTATTTGTTACATATTATATATGTCACAGTCAAAACTCGTAACCGGTCAAAGCCACTTTTGACTGCAAAAAACCGTCAATAACAGTTGACTGATTTTTGTCTTTTTTGAAATTCAAAAAGTATAAGTCAAAAGAAGGTATGAATATATTGTTAGTCAACACCACTTTTAACCGATATAATTTGGTCAAAATCACTTTTATTCAGTATTTTTTGCAGTTAAGTCAGGCCTCTGTCACTCTTGCTACCTGCGTGAAATAATTACCTACAATCGCGAGCTGCCCCAGGGGTAGATCGCAGTCGGGGCCAGGCTGGTGAAACTTCCTTAGTAAAAATTATATGTACTACAGGGGTCAAATTTTAATGACGGTTAACTCTTCTTTCTGCTTTTCGTAATATGTCTATTAATGACATTGTCAAATCAAATAGGTTCAAATGTCAATCAAACAATTATATTTTTATACATGATATTTTTATTTTTTTTATAAATTACATTATATTTATTAAGATTGCTTTTAATTTTGCTATAGGAGCTGTTGTTCATTTATAGAATCGTCGAAAAATGAAATATGCATTATAAAACTTTCCAATTAAATGGTGCAAGAAGCGGAAAAAATGATAACAAGAAAAGGCTATTAGTAGCAATATTTCCCTTAGATGATGAAAGGTATGTGGTGATTTCAACTTTAATAGTAATATGATATTTAACGCGAGTACATTTTTGGATAAGCCATCTACATAGGACAGGTTTTTATAGTGTACGATTGTGTGCACAAATACAAACACACTATTTCCTAAATCTGATAGTTCGATGGTATGTCAATCCGAAACGAACTATACTTAGAAACTACACAGTAAATTGTGACTTCATTTTATTTGTTCAATATAAATGTGATTTTATTTATATTATTTTTTCAGATGCAAGCAATGGGTGAAATAGCTGGCACATGCACCAATTGAAAAGATTCACATGTTAAAACATATTTGTGGCAAATATTGCATTTGAACCCTACTAAAACGAACTGTTATTTCATCAGTGGACTTAATTTAAACTTCTACAATTATGTGTATGTTAATTAGTTTTCATTTACATGTAGCAAAAGACAATATCCCTATAAAGTAACATTTTGGTAAGAATTCGATTATATAAATAAACTCAGAGTTATTTGTACCTGGTTATAAATATTTTTTTTATAGATTCATCTACAAACATTAGCTATAATGAGCACTCATTTAAAAACGATCTCTGCGAATAGTATGTTCATAGGTACCTCTGTGAAGAAGCCTAGCGATTTGTGCATAGTATTTGTTACACATAAAAGCAATTTAATCCAATCAGTGTTAAAACCTAATATTTTTACCTTTTAACAAAACTAACGTTGAAATCAAGTATCCAGACGCAGACTTTATTTTACAGCATAGCAACACTTGTTCAGTGCGGGAACGAAGCTTCGGTCCTGCTATTTCGCAGCCAAACGCTTAGCCACTGCGCTACGGAGTCGTCATTATATTTTATATTTTCATTATACATATTTTTGTACCTAATTGTAGAGATATAATTACGAATTGCTGTGTGTAAAATGCATTGATTTCTTTTCCTCGTCGGCATTTTTACTCAATCCCCACGTTAAAAATTTCTCATAAATAATTCAGTACAGAGATCTAATTTTATTATGTATGATGTTGCATCTCTTTGCGTATTTTATCGCATCTATCACGGGGAGCGCTCTGAGGAATTGTTCGGACTAATTCCAGCCGCTCAATTTCACCATCGCACATCGAGACAAAACTCGCGTTACCATCCATACCATCTGGATGATTGGCGGTCCACCACTGTGCGATTTAAAAGAAGTTTTCTCCCTCGCACAACTTCCTTGTGGAATCAATTACCACCAGCGAATTTTCGGGACCGATACGACTTAGGAACCTTCAAGAAAAGAGCTTACACATTTCTAAAAGGCCGGCAACGCATCTGCAATTCCCCTGGTGTTGCGGTTGTTCATGGGTGGCGGTAGTCACTTACCATCAGGCGAGCCGCATGCTCGTTTGCCCCCTCTTCTATATAAAAAAAATGTAAAAATATCGATAAACAATATATCGATAAAATTATTTGAGGATAGACATTTACAGCACTATTGTAATTCGTCAATGTTGTCAGCATTGTTTGTCAAAACTAAATGTCATATCTTGATGTTGGTAGAGTAGCTTGGCGTACTTTCATGCATTTACTTTTACTATGGAAGTCCCGCCTCTTAAACGTAGTGATTATATTCTCTTTGGTCGGGGCTAGCGCGCTCTATACGATTGAATGTTCGTTTTTTTAACGCTGTTTACGTAAATAATTTTTTTGTAAATACTTGTTGAAATACTTTTTTTTTACTTTGTTCAGTGTTTAGTATATTTAATTGTAGGATAAAATAGTTGAAAAAGTTTTAATGTAATTTAAGAATAATATATATATGTATATTATCTATCTATTTGATAAATTATAATGACAAAACGTCGTTCCTACTATAATTGTTGCGGGCATGGATGCTTAATGAGCAATTAAAAGGATTCAGATCAGGGGTGTAGCTACCGCCGTATCAGCCGTATCAATGATACGGGGCCCCCGGGCTACAGAGGCCCCGAACGTATGTAAGCAAAAATTCTAAGGACTTCTATGAGACAGGATGTTGGTTTGAATTGTTTGGCTAGCTTAGTTCTTAGGAGTATTAATTGTAAGTAATAACTTACGAGTATAATCAATATATAATTATTTTACTTTAATGCGAGAGATTTTGTTCCTTTTGTGAAAAATATTTACCCTTCATTTGGGCCCCCCGATAAATTTTGATATAGGGCAGGCTACTCCACTGATTCAGATATATCAATTTTGAGTAACCGAAGAATAATGAAAGGTAAATTTATTTAATTTTTTTGTTAGATAGGTTTATTACTTAATTATTCACTTATAGTGAATAATTAAGTAATAATTTAACTACAGAAGTAATACAAAGTATACTTTATTACAAAACTTAGTTGAAATTGAATATATGAATGAAAAGAAATTTACTTCACTACCCAAGTACCTACTTACCTATACTCGTCTTTGTAATTAAAATATTTTAAGTTATAATAGCACAAATACTGAAATTAAAACTTTGTTTAGATTTTCAACTTAGTAGATTACGATCATATTTCTCTTAGGAATCGTTTTTCGGGTTTATTTATTTTCCCGACGAATGACCTTGCAAGTTGCATGCGTTGCGCATCACATAACTCACATAGTAGGTGATACGGTCGATTATAGTCAGCATAGGTACTTTACCTAA